CCTTTGGACATATTTATACTTAAACAAAGTACTAATAGAGTGGTTGGTAAATGGCTGTGACCTTGAGGTCCTCAGTGGGCCTCCTCCACTGGAGCCTCTCTCACAGAGTTCTGGGATAATTAATGGTCAATGTATAACACAAAGGGCACCTTCCAGGACTCCATCTCAGTAGGACTTGCATCTACTTTCTATTCTAACTGGTCTAACTTCTGCCTTGTCATTGGATATGTTGATATTTTGAGTATCAACCCTGTGTGGGTAAATATAACAAAGGGAAGTCCATGTGTGGTCTGTAACAATGAGAAACCACCTTTATGTGTCTTTAAAATAAGTTATTAATTATCTGTACAATAAAAGATAATTTCTCGAGGATTAATGTCAAATCAAACATCATTTCTCAGGGACTTTTCTGTTAAAGGTGCTCAGCCACATGTCCCCACAGTACCCTCGATCTTAACTCTTTCTGTATTTTACTTGTGTCATGTCTATCTTTCCTAGCAGACTGTAAGCCTCATAAAAGGAAGGGCCGAGTCTGCAAGCCCCAGTGCCTAGCATGAAATCTGCTAGGTCAAAGGTGCTTAATAAATACCATTAAATATAGATAAATGAAGCTATTTCACTTAGGAATTTTCCATAAAATTATTTCATCATCATTTGTTATTGAAGTTTTTATTTGGCATTAAAAATGCCTTGGGAATTTAGATGGACCTCCTTTTCTTAATTTAAATTTGGACACAATTTGTCCTTTCCTTGACATGGTTGTTTATTGCATTGCATAAGGAAATCCTCATTCCTGATTAAAGAATGCCAGCATGGAGATCTCCTTGATTTGGGGGAATTGAGAACTATACAATAATTGAATAAATGGAATAATCATCGAAGGTTTAATTATTATTGGAAGATATCAAACATCAGTATTCCTTTCTGACTTCTCATTGTCCTTTCTTTGTACCAATTGCTAGCAGTCTTTTTAGAGTCAGTATTTGAAACTACGGTTCAAAGTACCATGGAAAATATTTTTTCAGTTTATGAGAGAAGGAAGGTAGGATGATGTGAAGCTATGTCTACCAAACACAGGGACTGGTATTTTATAAAAATGATTGCATACACAGACTTTATAGGACAAATATGAATAAAAAAGACTTGAAAGAGTAAGGTCAAAGTGAGAAAAGATATTGTATTCTCAAGACTGAAGAATGAGCCAAGGACATTTCCTTCTGGGCACTGAGGAAAGTCCTGGGGGTCACAATTCTAAGGGAAGAGGCCATGATAATGTCTTCAGGTACAGGTCCTGCTTTAGTAAAGGACAAAATAAACACTAGGTAAATAGCTGTTTCTTTTTACCTACTTAACTCAGGGACAATAAGCTATTTTATTATGATACAAATCTGAGTTTTAAAATATACAATTAAGTGGCACTATGTGGAGGAGGGAGGATGATAGGGTAAAGGGACTAGGTGCTGTCAATGCTGCCAACTGACTTACATTCAAGCACATTATTACTTTTCTTGTTTTATCTTAGGTATGAATATTTAATTTCTGAAGTTTTGTCTAGCTTGAAAATTTCATTCTTTTGACTACTGTGTCCAGATAATGCTTAGACTATAGCAGGGTAATTTCTTGTATGTTGCTATGGTCAGAATGTTCAAAATTCATGTAGAAATCTAATCCCCAATGCACTGGTTAGAGGTGGGGCCTTTGTGAGGTCTTGAGGTCTTGTGAATGGGATTAGTGCACTTAGGAAATAGGTTTGAGGGCACTTGTTTCCTCCTCTCACCATGTGAAGACACAGAGGCACCAACTTCAAAGCAGAGAGAGTCCTTGCCAGATGCTGAATCTGCTGTACCTTGATCTTAGACTTCCCAGGCTTTAGAATTGTAAACAATAAATTTCTGTTGTTTATAAATTATCCAGACTAAGGTATTTTGTTATAGCAGCCTGAATGGACTAAGACATGCTATGAAGGGAAATGTTAGGATAAATTCAGAAGAATCCAAATGATGTGCTTATACAGAAGCAAAAGCCCAGGCAAAAGGTGAATCCATTATAATGGTTCTGTGGTCAAGTGAAGTGCCTAAGGAAAAGTATTTTTTTTTTAATCACACACTTAAAACTTCTATACTTCTATATTTTTAGACTTTCTCAACAGCATGTCAATTCTAAAGATACTAAATATAACTTTGGGGTCTGACAATTACAATGGCAAACTTTCCACTATGCACTTCTGTGGGCAACACCATACAAACAACTCAGTAAGGTTTCATAACCTTGGTATATCAGTGTCTTAGAGTTGTGCTGGTGTTGATATGTGGTGGTGTGTTTTTGTGTGCCATCACAAGAATGTTGGAGCTTGAATTACAGCAATAAACAAACATTCATAAATTTCTTATTAAAGTTGGCAAGAGTGGAAGTGAAATCAGGGATATGTTAGTCCAAGTTTATGGGGATAATGCCGTGAAGAAAATAGCAGTGTACAAATGGATTAGTGTCTGAATTGAGATGTGCTGTAAATGTAGAATGTATGTGTATAGCAGATTTCAAAGATTTAGTATTAAAAAAAGTAAAATAATTTTTAAAATAATTAAGTACATCTTGAAGTAAAACCTTAGATATACTGTGTTAAAGAAAATGTATTAAGTGCCTTCTTTAAACCTGGCTTTAGAAAATTTAAAATTACATATATGCAACTCACATGTATCTAATGAACAGCACTGTACTAGAACATAAATCAAAAATTGAGATCTGAGGCTGGACATGGTGACTCACACCTATAATCCTAGCCCCCTGGGAGGCTGAGGCAGGTGATCACTTGAGCTCAGGAGTTTGAGACCAGCCTGAGAAAGAATGAGACCCCATCTCTATTAAAAAAATAGAAAAATTAGCCAGGCATTGTAACACATGCCTGTAGTCCTAGCTACTTGGGAGGATGAGACAAGAGTATCTCTTGAGCCCAGGAGTTTGAGGTTGCTGTGAGCTATGATGCCATGGCACTGTAGCCTAGGACAACAGAGTTAGACTCTGTCTCAAAAAAAAAAAAAAAAGAAAAGAAAAAATTGAGATTTGAGTTGGTCTCCAATATCTATGATGTTGGAGCAGGAAATAGGGAGCTAAAAAATTCACTTGAAGGCAGTTATTGCAGCCATAGGTTGCTATAGAACCCCCAAATTATTTCTTTCACTTACTGTCACTAAAAATAAGGCCACTCTAAGGGTTCTGGCTGCCAAGTTTGTAACTTCTTTTCCCTTATGTTCCAGATAAAATGCAGTATTTAGGTTGTTTCCATAAGAAGAGTGACTGTGAATACAGAAGGTATATATAATACACATGCAAACATACACACACACACACACACACACACGCATATACAAGTTGACTAACTGCACATTTCTTTGACTTTTACATGTTCCAAATAGCCTAGATGCCTAAATGCCCAAGATAAATTCAGGACTCTATCTACCTCAGTGGTTCTCATCATTTAGGGGTCTTGCTAAAAGTACTGACTTTGATTCGGAGGTCTGAGTTTGGGAATAAGACTTCAGCTTCCTAGTGGTTCTATATGGGTGTCTATGTATTTTTAATTGCAATCTTTTGTTAGTTCATTTTATTTCCTATTGACCAAATAAGCATTTCATAACATGAACTGTAAGTCATAAGCTGTGATACTTTCTTTCCATTGGATCTTTTCTTCTTCTCAGATCCCTTAATTACCTTGTACTTCTTCAATTATTTTATTGTACTTCATCAATTATTTTATGATCCACTAAGAATGTTGCCAATTCAACTATGAAACATACCAATTTTAATCATGGCCCTAGTCAGAAATGTCAAAATGTGAAAAACATACATTTTTGATGAAATATGGCTCCCTTTGAGACTCACATTTAATACTGCTGGTGGACTTTGTAATCTGGATGCCACTTTATCCCTTCCCCATACCTGAATTCATTATGGCTCCCCAACTAACTCTTACTTTCTCTCGAATCCCACATTTTAGTAAGTGACACATTCCCCAGGTAATTTGGATGTAGCTCTTAGTCCATGCTCTGAGAAACACTCTTCTTTAGAAGAAGCTCTATGAGTATTGCTAGGGTTGTGATATTTATGGTTGTCATCCAAGGGTTTGATATTTCATTGTCAATGTTTTCTTCCAGGTGCTTCATAAACATGCAAAGACTATCAGCCAGCCCCACAATTTATCCTCAAGAACTACTTAGCTTCTTATTTAGGATGAAATATCCCCAATATTTGTTGCAATATTTAAAAATATGCATTCAAGGACAGGCAAGGTGGCTCATGCCTGTAATCCTGGCACTCTGGGTGGCTAAGAAGGGTGGATTGCTTGAGCTCAGGAGTTAAAGACCAGCCTCAGCAAGAGAACCCATCTCTACTAAAAATAGAAAAACTAGCCAGGTGTAGTGGCGCATGACTGTAGGTCCCAGCTACTCAGGATTCTGAGGCAAGAGGTTAGCTCAAGCCCAAGAATTTGAGGTTGCTGTGAGCTGTGATGCCACAGCACTATACCCAGGACAACAGAGGAAGACTCTATCTCACACACGCACAAAAAAATTCATTCAATTCAGTATTACCCTGAAGCATTGCTTTTATTCTAACTTTTAGGAAGGAAATGTCCTGGATACGACAAAAAGACTGCAGCGAGGAAAAAGAGCCAGATGGTAACCACTTAAGTCCAGTAATAATATGAGACATTTTTGGGCTGGAAAAGAACTTCACTTGTTTATGTAAGTGAAGTGAGGTAAAATCATAACTTAGCACTACCACTAAATGAGTAATATCTATCCAATGTGTTAAATATACTTTGTATGCTCTGAGGACACTGCCCTGTATTTTATTAATTACAATCAACCCATCAATAAACCTGAATATACCATACTCATCTCCCAGGTATCATTTCTCTCCATTTAATCTGCAAATTGTTAAATTTGGTGTCTCAATGTACTTATGACTTAATAGGAGACTAAAGATGAACATTTCTGTAACACTTTCTATAAAAAATGCTTTATTTAAAAATATGATCTTTTAAAAAAAAGAGACAACTTTTATATACAGTTACTTAGTTTAGAAACAGTCAGAAACACAGTAAAATAACTCCAGATTTAGAAATTATGATTTGTAACTTACAATACTGGTGCCAAACAAGACAGTTTAAATGTATGGTTCTTTCTGTCCCATCACATTTCAATAATTCACATTTGTTAAAACCAGTGGTTGGGACTAAAGAGAAGGTTGTGTCTGATTCGTTTCCCCTGCAGAATCTGCCACCCTTCCTGGCAGTTACAGAAATGGCAGCAGCTAGGCAGTACGTCGGTATTTCCTTGAGTGCCTGTGTGTCGAAAAATACATCTCCTGCACTTTTTTCTATTTCCTTCTTTGAAATTTATTTGTATGTGCCTATATGGCCTAGGCCTTTTAAAATTTAAATTTTTAAAAAAGCTAAGGGCAAGGAGCATGCAATACTATGAGAGCACAGGACTCAGAGCTTAGTGCTCTTAGGTTAGCAACACTCAACATGATTTTGATCTCCAAGTTGGCACTCTGAGCAGCTATCAAACCAATCTTTTCCAGTATGGTACTGAAATATTTCAAACCATGTTCAAACATCTAATATAGACTCATAATAAAACAGGAGGAATGGCTTGTCAAACTAAAGTGCTATTAGCTACTATAATCAAGACACTATCTTGATTTGATAATCTGAAATTTTTAAACTATTTCTCACCATGGTCGCTGCTTCTCAAACTCGGAACCCTAGCCATTTTCTTGGAGAGTCCATTTTTTCCCCCAAAGGCTTATAAAGAGGTTTAAACTTTTAAAACAGTTTAAATTATTTAAAAAAACAAACAAAAACAACTTGAACAGCTCTGTCATGTACATTCACAAGGAAAATCAGAATGATTTTAAAGGTAAAACATATGACTTCAAGGAAATTACAAGGTGATATTTTGGACTATGCCCTCATACCTTATTCTCCTATAAGGAGGACTTCAGTAGTAAAATCTACGAGGCAATTTTTTGAAAATGTAGCCATGTCCCTACTGATAGTGAAGATAGATGAAATTCAAAGTCTTGGCTCATTTTCTTAGTTCCATCTTCAGAAATAATGTAATTCTCTGATTAAAATATACAAGGTGGACATAAAGTTCGTGTACAACTTAAATTACACTGTCTACACTGATCAGGGAAGAAAGTCAAGGAAAGAACTCTGAACTGATTTTTTATTTTACATTGTTTAATAGAAGAATGCTACAGCTAACGATTACTAATTTACAGCTAAAAATATATAACATATGTCATTGAAAATAGAACTCCTAAAGCCAAAAGATTAGAACTTGACCCACTGAAAATAATGGGTATAATAAATACAGGTGGCTTTATCCTTCTTTCAGATTTATATTAAATTATATCAACCCTGTTCTGTCTTGTCCTTTTGGTTGAAGTGGTGAGTACATGGTACCTTTATGATTCATTAATTATATTACTTCCTCTAGGATTCAAAATCCACTAGGGATTCTTTTGCGATCCCAAAGGGATCCTTTTAGAATGTCATGAAGACAAAACAAAATTGCCTGCCAACAATAACTACTTGCAAAATAGAAAGTCAATGGTCATTTTCTGTAAAAACAATACCTATAAAGAACAAAATGAAGTTGCCAATGGAATTATAAGTCAATTTTACAAACAATAGCACAAGGTCATATGGCTATGTAAGGAAACATTATCTGTAAAAATCAGGGTATCAACAAACACATTTAATAATTAAATACAGTTAAATATGACAATGGATCAAAAATGATCCTGGATAGTACAAAGATTAATCCCACAACTTAATGAGACCATCCCAACCACATGTTATGACCTTAGATGTTTCATGAGGATGCCACACTGCACCTATACACACTTTATCATGAGCTTTAAATCGACTATAGAGTTTTGTGGTCTTCCAGTCCCAAATGTTTAACTTTCCATTTCCATCTCCTGAAATCACATAGCTGTAATGAAAAGATAAATAAATCCAAATAAATTCAAATATCTTGAACTGGTAAATGAGATAGGCTTATAAAGAGGTTTACACTTTTAAAACCGTTTACTTTGTTAAAAGAAGAACAGAGAAAGATTTTATTTTTTCATTTAAACATGAAAAGATAAAACCAAATGCAAATAAATACTCAGAATAGCGGTCTATAAAGTAAACTTCTTTAATAAAAACACCTATATATTCTACCAATCTAAGCGCAGGAAACTTCTGTGTTTTTGAGACAGAATCTATCTCTGTTGCTCAGGATGGATTGCAATGGTGTGACCATAGCTCACCGCAGCCTTGAATTTCTGTGCTCAAGTGATCTTCCCACTTCAGCCTCCTGAGTAGCTGAGACGACAGGCACTTTCTAACACACCTGGCTAGTTTTTAATATATATTTTTTGTACTTATGAGATCCTGCTTGTTACCTTGTGTGGCTCAAGTGACTTTCCTGCCTTAGCCTCCCAAAGTGCTGAGATTACTGGTATGAGCCACTGTGCCCAGCCAGAAAAATTATTTTTAACTCGGAACATGGAGAGTCCCAGCTGCCATAATGAATGAAGTATCATAATCAGTTTCTAGACAGTCAGAAACAGGTAGGGGAACCAATTTCACATACAGCCAGTGAACACACTTAAGACTCATTCTACCATAGTGAACTCTACCATTTTCACAATTATTTTTGGGCTTCAGTATCTTTTGAATCCATTTAAGGCTGAATCAGAAGGAAAAGTATAAGGCCCAATTACCAATATAGAATTACAGGGAGACCTAAATTACTTCTAACTATATATTTTTATAGGTTTTATAGGCTTCCCAAATCCAGTGCGACCTAGAAATGATCAAAAGCTGGATTTGAGGTTTCAGGAGACAAGCTGTAGTTAAGTTGTTAACTTCAACACTGCAATACAGAACGCTTCTGGTGTTCATTCAATCATAGCAATATGGTGATTATAGTCTACAGTCCTAGTCTTGCTTACAAAAGCAGAGAGAAAATAAAGCATTGCTGATATAACACAAAGATTTATTAGGTGGCTAAAAGGCAAAGGCCTAAGTAACATAAGGAGATTAAGTGAAGAGCTTAAAAAATATATAAGTTTCCTATAAGTTTAAAGCATAACAACCATGTGACTGTGATTTGTAAAGTATTGTTATTTGTACAATAGCTTATATTATATATATATATATATGTATATACATATGAGAATAGAAGATTGAAACTTACCTCATGTCTGGTGAAAAGTCTACTTGACAAGCATAGCCTGCTACCATATGGCCTTTAAAAATTTTTTTCTTATTTAATCTAAATCTGTTCTGTGCTCCAAAAATTAAGATTTGGTTGTCCATTGATTGGCATGCTAGCCATTTCCCTGTAAAGTTGATAAATAGGATATTTTAGAGAAAGACTGAAAGGTTTTAAAAAAATAATATGTTGACTGTGATTAATATTCTTTTGCTCTCAACTACTTTATAATATTAGAAAATAAATTTGCCATACAACCTATAAAGTGTTACAAATAAGAAGTATTAATATGTAAAGTAATGGATTTTGCTCATACAATCCAGTTTTTAGCTCATGGCAACCTCAAACTCCTGGGCTCAAGCCATCCTCCAGTAGGCGCACCACCACGTCCAGTTAGTTTTTTTATTTTTTGTAGTGATGGCGTCTCACTAAACTCAGGCAACCCATGACTGTACTTGTGTCCCTTGGTATCTGAGAGATTGATTTTAGGACACCTCTTGATCCTTTGTGAATATCTAAATTCACAGAAGCTCAAGTCTGTTATATAAAATGGCATTGCATTTGCATATAACCCACATGTCTTCTGTATACTTTAAATCACCTCTAGATTACTTATAATACTAATACAATGTAAATGCTATGTTAGTAGCCATTACAGTATTGTTTTTTAATTGGTTTTTTTAAATTGTTTTTTCCTTTGAATATTTTTGATCTGTGGTTGGTTGAATCTGTAGAACTTATAAATATGGAGGGCCAATTGTACTTGTAAATAATGCTAAGGAAATGATCTTTTATTTCTACTAATATGCATTTTTTAAATTTCAAGTTAATGCATAGACACAAACAAGTAGGTCTCAATATTTGAATTTGTTAGGTAGAGTCCATTTTGTAGTTGTGTTAGGTAGAGTTTATCTTGTAGTTGTGTCCTGCACTCAAAGGCATAGCTTATATTCCTACATTGTACCCATTAAGTGGGAGCTCACCAATCCCCCCTTTCTCTCTTCTTCCTATCTCATTCCTCTCACCCCAAGTTGAACTGAATTGAATTTTACTCCTATGTGGGTATCAGGTCATCTGCTGGCTTCATACTGGTATTGAGTACATTATAAGGAAATGATCTTAATGGCTGAGTGGGTAAATGACCTTGTTCAAGATGGGCACAGTATTTGTAATAGACGGCTTTAAAGCACACTACATAAAATGTGCAGGCACAGTGACAAAGTATATGATATAGTGACTATCACAGTAGGATCCAGTCAGGTTGTTCTCATAAAAATGACAGATCATTTGACAACTATCACCAATGTGCCTGTGGCAGGTGCCCCGATGGAAGAGCAAACTCTTTCTTTTCTTACACTTATAGTAGCTGTGTGAGTCAGCGGTGGCTTCGGTGGTGATGTTTCCCAAACATCGTAACATTCTATGTATATACTTATTTTTTAGAGACAGGTTTTGCTTTGTTGCCCAAGCTGAAGTACAGTGGCTATAACTCCTGGGCTCAACTGATCATCCTACCTCATCCTCCCAAGTAGCTAGGACTATAGGTATATACACTACATGTGGCCCATTTTTAAATGTATTATTATTTATTATTTTTTTTTTTGTAGAGAAAAGGTCTTGCTATGTTGCCTGGACTAGTCTCAGTGAGCCCTGCCTTGGTCTCCCAAAGTGTAGACCTCTGCTTTAACACCCTCATGTAGAACTGTCAGCATACTGTCATGTATACTGCCAGTATCTCTATACCACAAATTACCTTCTACTTAAAAGGCAATGGATTACTGAATAGGAAATAATATTAAATAGCTTCATCGTTTATTTTGCCCTATGAAATGATTTATTGAAACTGGTTTTATGTCTACTTGAAACCCTGATTGTCAAACAGAAATCTTTAGATGCTCAATGTTAGCCATAATCTTTTATTTTTATTTTCTAGAAAAACAAAGAATAGGTAAGGTGACTCACACATGAAAACCAGCAATTGTATCTAATATTGAAAAGACTTCCTTGCACAAGCATGACACTGTAACAGATTTCTCAGAGAAGGAAATAGTCAAAGTTGTTCTGAATACAGCAATTACACCATGTCTTAGAAGCTTATTTAAAAACACTCTACATACTAACTCACCATTTGGAGACAAAGTCACTGCAGGCATTGAGTGCATACTGGGTTCTGCTATATACTTGAAATCCACTGGGATATCCCTAAAAATTTAAAATAGCTTATCAGAATAAGTTTTAAAAAGCACCTTTAAAAGAATTACCTCTGGAATACAGGAATAATATCCAAATAAAAGCAAACTCTTAAAATTATACATTTAACAAAACTTTAATGAAATTTGTTGGAAGAAAGAAAATCAAAAAATGATACTGTATTACTTATTATAAATCTTTTACTTCATTAAAGACTTTTCTTCATGATAACTATAACAGTGCCAGTGATTTTGTTTTCTATTTGATTTAAACTTTGGCCTTTATGTTAAAAAAAAAAAATTGTCACCAGAAGTTCTTTAATAATGAACTCATCTAAAAATGTATTATGGTAGGCAGAAGCAAGATGTCTGAGGCAAGCTCCTAGGGAAATACTGTTTTACCAGCCAGTCAACCTTAGCTTGTTGTCACTCCGGGAGTGGGTGAGAGTGTTAAAGAGCCTTCCGCAGCACAAGTGGATGGCAGGCAAGGCTGCAGGGACTATGAGCTGTTCCAGCACATCCAGAAATAATGACTAAGGCCAGGGAGATTAAGTGCTTGGTACTTGGACTATTTGCAACTTACATACATATAAAGCATTTCAAATATATACAGAGCAGGAGAAAAAAACATTACAAAAAGCTCATATGAGTGATACAAAAAATAAAACAACCCCCCCCAAATCTAAAACTAGTCACCCATCGCAAATTTAAAACACCATTTCATTTTTAATATTCTCCAAGTTAAAAATGCTTTAAAAATTCTGGGAGGATTTTTGGTTTTGTTGCCTTTCATCAGACCAGAAAGTGTTTTTACAGAGTAAACTGTGGGAAATGTAATCTGAAGAACAGCACAGAATACGGAGCAGCAATTTCAAACTCTGGTTCAAGTTCCAGTACCGTCAGGAACTGGAAAATAGTAATTTGCCTTCATGTAAGAATTTTCTTTATCCATGTATCCATCTACCCAGCACAAAGAGCAAATGATTAGAAAAGATTTCTCTCAGGGTCTTGGTTAGAGAAGACTTTTCAGTGGAACCTGGACAATAACATTTGTCAGATCTCTGGCCCTTTATACCTGCCAGACACCGGTGAGAAGTGACATTCAGAATGACCTGAATGTGTTAAAGAGAGCCTTACTTTAAAAAGGTTCATTTTTTTCCTTCTTCATATTTATTATTAGGGGCTCATAATCTCATAGCATGAATTAAAACATAAGAGAATTTTAAAATTAAATTAATCATAGTTTAGGTTCAGTTAACAAACTCAAACAGACACTTCATTTATACAACAAACTCTAGACACAAAATGAATCTGAACTACTTTGTAGACTTCCAGTGAAAATGTCTGCTATGTATAGTTATTTTTAACAAACACACTATTTTCTAATTAGATACTATAATCTAGTATAATAAGTTATTAACTCAAATAATCTCCAGTTTGGCAATGAATTCACACACAAAAAACATCCTGACAAAATTTATGAAAATTTAAAGATGAAAGATAAATAATAGTGTCAATCTCTGTAAAATTTTCTTTAAAAAATATTTTTAAAAAATATTTAAACATGCATTGGGCTGATTAAAATACCATAGGCTGCTGAATTCTAATATAATCTCTATCCTCCCTAAAAACCACACAAATGTTAGTTTGTATAGTATTGTTTAGGAAAACCAAGTTTCCTTTGGTTTATTTTTTTTTGTATATTATCCTACTCTAACCAGGCATGGAGTGTGGTAAAAATTTGGCAAACACAACTTGTCTGAAGGCCCCCGTGTTGCTAGTTTTCCTATAGCTGAGGATAGCCCTCACTCTGAGCTCAGGGCCTTCCTTCCTTTCCTATGCAAGCTGTCAGTATCATGAGTAACTGTTCTTAGGAATGGTTTACGCAGAAAAGCACCGTTCTGGGGATCCTGTACTAGTTTGCTTCCTATTTGTCTTTGTAGCAAGAGTTATCCTCACATTTATTAATTTCCCACTAATCAGACAGAATACAAGTTACCTTCTCTCCCCACCAGTCCTTCATTAATCTAACTATCCATCCACATGATCAAGAACTCAAGCTCAGCAATCAGTTTGGCCTGAACATGAACTCTGACTCTTTCATGTCTTACATAACCTTGGGAAAATTACTTAACCTATCTTAGTGTCCTTACGTATAGAATAGGAATAACAAATGTACCTAACCCACAGGATTGCTTTGCACATTCATTCAAACAGTTCACATAAAAATGCTTAGCATAGTGACTAGCATGGAAAGGGTTCAATAAATACAACATCATTCATTAATAGTTACAACAATAATGACTTCTTTAGATATTCAGCACATACTGTGTGCCGGTCACTGTGCTGGTGTTGGGGACAGATAGTAAGCACGACTGACACCTTTCTCCCCCCTCAAGGGTAAGAACTTGTTGGGAAAGGGGAACAAATAAGCACTAAAGTATGCTGTAAGCTGTGGAAAGCAGAAGACAGTGTGGGGTGACAGAGAACAGGCTCTGAGGATTGGTCAGGAAGGCTCCAACTCCAACTACAAGTAAAGGTTAAACTGAGATCTAAAGGATGTCAACATTTAAAACAAAACAGCATAATGACTTTTTAGAAGAATTTCTTAAGAACTGAGAAAAAACTAAAAAGAAGCCAGTATCACCCTTGGTTTAATCAAAAATCTTTGCTAATGTTTTACCTTAGAAAACACACACACATTAAGTGTTCTTAAATCCTCTACTTGCTACAACATATAAACACAGTAGAACCTCCACAGTCGACCACCTCCCTGTATTGACCACCTTCTTAAGTTGATCTAATTTTCACAGACTGGACATGACCACATGTACTCAATGTACAGTAGGCCTAATTCCTTATGTGGACCACCTCCATACTTTGACCAATTTGTTACACTTCCTTGGGTGGTCAACTTACAGAGGTTCTACTGTATTTGTTTTTCTTACTTTACATTTAAAAATGGAGCAAATTTATCACCTGACAGTAGAAACATCTGAAAATTTAAGTATAATTAAATTGTTAAAATATATGAAACAAAACAAATCATATGTACACATATGAGATATATGTTTATTCTTTAGAGTATTTATTGTGCAAAGGATTTAAGGTAGGTCCTTGGAGTCTAAATCAGATTCTCTGTAAAAAACATTGCTGAAGTTAGGAAAATCTTAGTTAAAAGGTAGTTGTAAAACCAGGGACAGATGTTAAGAATAATGTCCAGTAACTCTCCTCTAATTAGATGTAATCTGGAGGGGTATAGTAGTGGTGGTGGTGAATGTGGGAGAAACTGAAGTTAAATTACATTAAGTCTTCAATTACCCAAATTGTCCTGACAATGGTTAGGGACCTGCTTAGCCTCCCAAAGGGACTCAGGTTGAGAAGGAAACCACTGGCTGTGGTTCAAGGCTTCCCACTTCTTCTTAAAGCAGAACAGCTTCTGGGGGTAGGAAGACACACTTTTGTCATTCCTACACTGTAATCATGGTTGAGCTGTGCTTCATAGCTGACTATAAAAACAAACTGGGTTCCATCCAAACATTCATTTTAACAAAAAAGGTTATTATGTAATTTTTTTGCAACTAAAATATACAACATGATCTATGATACTTAATTAAATTAGTTTTAGTATTTCTTGACTTTAAAAAAATTGTTTTTTCTCTAGAAGAGCAAAATTAACCAATATATTATGATTACATTCTATAAGTAAAACATTTATACAAAGGTGATAATATGGGGCAACTTTCAGCATTGAATAATTATAAAGCAGAATTTGAAAAGTTAAGAGATACACCCAATTTTCTTTACTTTGGTTCTGAGGCCAGGATCTTACGCTTAATCCCCCAACTTCTTGCTAGTCATTTTGCAATGATAAATAAGATACCTAATACAAAATATAAGATAGCACAATACAAAACTATCATCACTGTAAGAAAAACAACTCAAAATACAAATCCTTTGGAAAGACTACTCAAAGACTATGAAGGGTAGCATGTTTAGATTATTATTTCCATATTGTGGGTACTTAAACAATTAAAACAGTTTAATTGGTAAGCTAGGATCACAGTTACAAAAATATTCAAATAGTTGTCAGGTTTTGGCTACATTTAATTACTTGCTTGATATAAATCAGATTTTCTACAGATAGAAACTCACCATTCCCAAACTCTTAGGCTCTTATCATCAGATGTGCTCACAAATCTTCTATTCTCATCAACAAAAACAATGGTGTTGACAGCTCCCAAATGCCGATCATACTCCTGCACAATTTCTCCACTTCGAATGTCCCACTATATATTGAGTAAGAGAAAAGGTAAAAACAGAAGGGGCAGATTTATGAAAACCAACAAGGATCATAATTCTGGAAAGTGGAGACAGAAAAAATCTCCCACATAATGTTTTTATGAATTTACTATTTTCTACTAAGAACTGAGCATCAGTAGTCCTTAAAAGAAGCAAACATTAACTTAATTAACATTCCTTATTTTATCCCTTGATATAACAGAAAACTTAGGAATCTTAACTAAAAAAACACTTGAAAATACTTACTTGCACAATCTTCTTATCAGACATCCCAGCCACAAAGAGATTTTGCTTATCTTCATCAGGATTAAATTTGACACAATAGGGCACTTTTCGGTTTGTAAATCTTGATATACATTGTCCTAAAACCAAAGATTCACAGTAAGTAGGTAAAATAAATTTGACCACTGGCTCGGCGCCTGTGGCTCAACCGGCTAAGGCGCCAGCCACGTACACCTGAGGTGGCGGGTTTGAATCCCCAGCCTGGGCCCACCAAACAACAATGACGGCTGCAACCAAAAAATATCTGGGCATTGTGGTGGGCGCCTGTGGTCCCAGCTACTTGGGAGGCGAAGGCAGGAGACTCCCTTGAGCCCAGGAGTTGGAGGTTGCTGTGAGTGTGATGCCATGGCACTCTACCCAGGGGGATAGCTTGAGGCTCTGTCTCAAAAATAAATAAATAAATAAATAAATTTGACCACTAAAAGATGTCTATGAGATTAAAGTCTAGAGGTCATTTGCTTAATAAATTTTGAGAAAGGGCAGCCTGTTACTGTAAACTATATTGCTTTTCCACAGATTTTTAAATAATTAAAAATAATTACTTTAAAAAAGTAAATGTGTACCACCAATGGTAGAGTAGATGAATTATGATTCCATTCATACAAAGGAATACTGGAAACAATTTAAAAGAACAAACTACCAGTACAAACCACATGGATAAATCTCATACATTATGTTTTTTGTGAATGGAAGTACATATGGTATGCTACATGTATAAGTTCAAGAACAGGAAAAATGAATCCATAATTATAGAAGTGGTTACTGGGAGTGAGTACAGACTGGAAAAGAACGTAAGAAATCCTTACTGAGTACTGGAAATGTTTTGTATTTTGATCTTGGTGCTAACCATAGACGCTTACAAAAAGAAATCCCTGGATATTTATGCACTTTATACACTTTATTGTAGGTATATTCTATCTTGATTTTTAAAGAGGTCACAGAATGGGAGCCTCTCAGCATTGGCTACAGGTAGAATCATGGTCCATAACCTGGACCAATTACAGAAGTACCTGTGAGGGTGGGAATCAGGCAGCAGTAATTTTAAAGTTCTTCAGCTGATTACAATGAGCAACCAGAACTGAGAACCACTGCTAAAGAGGAGAGCACAGGCTTGGCATCAGAGAGACCTTGGTTTGAACCCAACTCTGTCACTGGTCAGCGGTGTGACCCTAGAAAAGTTCATGATTAGTCTCCTTATCTGTAATGATTAGTCTCCTTATCTGTAACGTAGTCTCTTTTATGATTAGTCTCCTTATTTGTAATGTATTAATAGTACTTACCTCATAGGAATATATTAAGATTGAAGGAGATACTGCATATCAATGCTTACTTAGCCTTATGCCTGGTGAACAGTGCTTATCAATCTTAGCTATTATCATTACCCTTAAACCTTAGTAAGATTAAAGATGATATTTTTTTCAAAAGATGTTTTTTTAATTATATAAAATTATAGTAGCCACAACTGATACAATTAACATGGCTATGAATACAAAAAAAACAACTGTGCCATGAAGTTCAGATCTACATTTCAATTTGAGCAATTAAATTTAATTCTGTATGTCAGACATTTATTGTGCTTCTATTACGTGTAAATAAACTGTGCTAGGTGATGTAGAGGAACAAAAAGATCAAACAGATGGCCTATGGAAGATTTCATATTTGCTTGTCTATGCAGGCATCCTCAAACTGTGGCCCGCCTAGGACATTTATCTGGCCCGACGGGTGTTTTTGCCGCCACTGCCTGTCCTACTTGGCAGCCAACTCGTCCCGGGGCCCGCTGTCTGGCCCTCCAACGGTCTGAGGGACAGTGAACTGGCCCTCTGTTTAAAAAGTTTGAGGACCCCTGAAATAGTGTTTGCTTTGGCTGGACGCAGTGGCTCACGCCTGTAATCCTAGTACCCTGGGAGGCAGAGGCAGGTGGAATGAGCTCAGGAGTTCGAGACCAGCCAGAGACCCCATCTCTACTAAAAATGGAAAACCCAGCCAGGTGTTGTGGCTGGTGCCAATAGTCCCAGCTACTTGGGAGGCTGAGGCAAGAGGATTGCTTGAGTCCAAGAGTTTGATATTGTTATAAGCTATGATGATGCCGTGGCACTCTACCCCTTTATTTTCCTTAAAAAAAAAAAAAAAAAAGCATTTGCTTTATGTAGGGTGTCCCAAAAATCACCCCTAAAGTTGTCATACATAGGGAAAATGAGAAATAGTAGCTAAATGTACTTTTATTTATCACATACTCATTATAAGATTTTACAGAGAGGTGGCCAACACGTAGAGAACTTTTGGGACACCCTGCATACTGTATTTGGTGGAAACAAATTTCACAGTGAAAGAGCTACTTAAACAGTTTCAACTCTATGAATATACTTTGTGACAGTAGCTGACATCAATGGTATAAGAAATGATGTCAGAGGACACATTTTGCTTCAAAAGACCACTTAGACGATTTCATACAAAAATGATAACTTCTAAGATTAATATGTATTAGTAAAAGTGAGCTCTTACCTGTCTCAGTATCCCAGAGCTTAAGGTACCTGTCATAGGCTGCACTGAGGAACTGTGTCCCTGCAGTATTGAAGCAGATGTCCCTAACAGCTTTACTGTGACCTAAAGTCAGAAGCAACAGAAATGGCAGTGAGATAAAGTTTTGTATATTTTCTTAAAATTGAAACACCTTAAAGAGAAATGACATTATACACTGGTTCCCAAGTTGAACTGTGAATCAAGATCGCTGAAACCCCATTGCTTGGTTTACTGACTTAGAATATGTTATATGTGGGCGTGGGTATGGTTGTTTTTTCTCCCTTTAAGAAGTTTCTCAGGTGATTCTAAGGCATAATATTTTGTTAAGAACCAAAAGAAAAGGTCTAACCTTTTTTTAAAGTTTGTCAAGGAAATCTCTTAATATGCAATACATACAACTGATGACTAACTAGCCAAGAATTTATGGATACACAATAGGCTAGTTATTGCCAATGAAAGAAATGACTGCTGAAGTTTGGAGGTTCACTCTTAGATTTCCCATCAGGTTGCAAGTGAAAACAAAGTGACCTAAACCTAACATTCAAGAAATTGAAGCCCTTGTTCAATAATTATGTATTTCTGTGATCACATTACTAAATTTCACAAACTGACCCAGAATCTCAGAAACTAAGCCTTTTTGAACACTATACCGCCACCAATGAACTGCCGTCAAGCAGTGTGTGCCATTGCAATTAGGCATTCTGTTCACAGCAGGAGTCCCAGCTGGAGCTGGTATCCTTCCTCCCTAAGGAGGGAAACTCAGTTTTCCACTGAAAAACAGTCTGCCAGAACAGGGGAGACAGATGGGGACCAAATACACTATACTTGACAGAGACATTTTGTTCCCCTGTACACTGCTAAGATCCTTTCCACAAGTCTTCCTTTAGGCTGTGGTGGCATCTCAAGCAAGATTTATTCACAGGGAGGCCCTAAAATCATAACAAAGCACCACAGAACAGACTCCTACTTTAATCTAAAAACAGAGCCAAATATCATGTACACAGAGTTTCAATGTGGTACAGTTAAATTTGGAAAGAGGAGCCTTCACATGAAATTTGACAAAGACTAACTTTTTCTACCAAAAACCCTGGTTTGTCACAAAGCTGTCCTCTTTAGACCTTTAATTTTCTTCAAGGAGTTCTGATCCTTTTGTATGCTTTAGCTGCCAATTCCCAGCCTCTTCAAAGCTCAACATCTAGCCATCTAATTGCTTACTGGACATTTTCACCTCAATATCCCAAAGGCAGCTGAAATTAAATGAGTCCAGAACCTCATCATCTTTTTACCTTCCTTCTCTTGGCAAATGGTACCACCATTCCTCCAGCAACCTGGGAGTCACCCTAGGTTCCTGCCTCACTCTCATCAATGACTTTGCATTAATACATCTTATTGCTTTGAAGAGTTCCTTTCTTCTCTATTTCTGGGCTTTGGTTCAGACTTTCATCATCTCTAATTCAGATCAATGAAATAAACATGTAATTCATTTCCCTTCTGCCAAGCTTGCCCTCCCAGCATCCTCCATATTGCTAAGTGCTCTTTGTGAACTTCAAATCACGTTGCCTTCCTGCAAAAGCTCTCTAATGGCTCCCCACTGTCTTGGAGTCTAAAGTCTTTATTAATGGTACACAAGGTCACCCCCACTCTGTCGTTTTTCTCCACTTTTGTCTCTCACTACTCCCAATACCCTAGCACTTCTAAGATATATGTGCGTCTCCCGAAGTGGAACATTTCTCACATCGCTTTTGCTGCTGCTGCAAGTCTCATTTCCTAGTTCTCTGATCTACCTGGGGAGACTTATTCCTCCTCCTACCAGACTTAGCTCAGCATAGCAAAATTACTGTTGATAATGTTATCTTACTTCAAAAAGTCTTCCTAGATTTGTAATCAAAGAGAAAAGAGAAAAGAAAGGAAATATTACCAATAAATGTTCGCAAACAGCGCCGGTCTCCATAAACCTCCCATAGCTGGGGAAAAGAACAATGCATGGAAATATTAACTATGATAAAGGTCTTTCAATCAATTACCGACAGTCACATGCTGGCTATGTGTGTGCATATCTGTGTGTATAGAAGGGATTTAGTCATTGAATACTACTTGATAAAGCTAGTTTGTGGTGTTCTATTTGGACCGAACAAACACACATGAAGATCTCCACATCAAAATATCCAGATAACTATAGACCAAGTTAATTCAGATGATTATCTTTCTTTATTGTTCTTCTCTGTGTTTTGTACATTTTCTATGATGAAAATACTACAAACTACTTTAAAAGGATTTAAATGTTATTAAAACTGCCATGTATGTATTTTGACACTTTTTTTTTACTTTACTGAACTATTATAGAAACTACATGAAAATAATGATATAGACTAAAACAACCAACTCATAATTCTTATCTAAAGTAAATTAATACAATAGCCTCAAACTAGCTTTAGTTTTTTCTGTCTCAACAATGTTGTTAGTGCTCTAAAACACAAGGCATTTCCTGACACCCAGTGCCAAGAGGACACAGTCTCAGTTACCACAGCACACCAGGCGAGGACCTCTAAGCCGGTCCCTTTCCCTTGACAGTCATCATTCTTTGTCTCTGAGATTTTATGTTCCAGCAATCACAGAACTGTTGTAGTTTTCCACATGCATCATCCTGATTCAATCTATTCATTTGCCTCAAACACACTCTTCTTTCGGCCCCCACCCTTTTACTTGTTAAGCTTTCCACTGAGGTATGCTTCCTCTTTGAAATCAGAATATTACGTGTCTGCCTCTGTAATGATCATTTATATCAGAGTAAATGATCACCCTAAGGGCAGGACAGTGCCTTAACAATTTTTTATCTGCAGCCTTTTGCACATAAAGGCACCAAATAAATGTTAACAGAAGTGAACTAAATTGAATTCTATGCTTTTTTCGTTGGTCAAAGGCCATAATCTCAGTTTCATGTAGCACAGTTTATATAAAGTGAAAGTTAAAGGAGATAGGGGTTTTTACTCCAAACTGTTGCTCTATCATTTTAAGCTATTAGAGACAAATGCTAAATGGTTGCTTTTCTCAAAAGAAGAGCTGCCTTTATATGTTGTTAATATCTACGAATTATTTATAAAGGATAAAATTTTAATGATTCAACTTTCCCCCAAGAGCACCAAGGGTTGCTATTATCAAACTGTCTTAACAGTCCTTAAAGGTCCGAACATGGAGAAGACACAAAAAAGATAAGAACTATCCTTTCAGATTTAAAATTTTTCAAGGCTTTCCTCATATTCAAGCTGACATCCATTGGTAACTTAGTTTTTTGGTCTTTTTTTTTTTTTTTTTTTTAATATACTCTATGGCTAAACAGAAGCTACTGGGGATGCTTCTTTTCTTGGGAGCACTTTTGCTATTTGGTGCCTACTAGTATTTAGAAGAAAAAGGATGAATTACATTTCTACACTCTAAAAACAGGATTTCTATTATGTATCCTCTCTGCCATGTAAGGTTCAGAGAAACAAATGAACTCAAGTTACATACCCCAAATCTCTGGGAAAATGCTTTATTACTGATTAAATATTTATGTGTCTAAAGCCAAAGTGATTGGATTATGTTATAATCAGTTGTCTAACTTTAAAAAGAGCCTAGGCAATTGAACCACAAGGTCATATTTGAATCCACAGGTTTGGAAGCAGTTCATAAATTGCTGCATTCACAGGGCCTAAGAGAAAATTATTAGCTTCTAATTGCCTAACAAACCCAAATTTATTTATAATTAACCAAATAGATTTAACGAAGAACAACTAGCTTTGCAGCACTCCTCTTCTGCCTGAAAACTCACCTTAATTTTACAGTCCATGGAACAAGACAGCAATAAATGGCCGGAGAGAGGAAACAATCTGACTGCGCTGACACCCTATGAAAACGTGGTACGGTTAGCAACCAGAAGCTTCCAAATATCAGCTAACATTAGCATCAAGAAAAGACAGTATAGATTAAGCTACCTAATTTACTGTTTTTCTTCTTTCCAAAAGTCATGCCCTTAATAACCTTCATTACTACTCTAGGAGCAGGTCTTATTGACACTACACCTTGGAAGATTTTTTTTTTTAAATCTTTAATATTGACTTCCTCGCCCAAAGGAATCCTGAGTCAATCAAGTTGCTAACACCCCCACTTTTCTTCTTTCTTTTACTTAGTCCCTTTGGTTTTTGTAAAAAGCTGGAAATTGTCACTTGGAATACTGCATATGATAAAGAATTATCAATATCAAAGTTTTCATGTATTTTGCCTCTGTGCTAGTTTAAACATTACCACAGTATATAAACCAGGGAGCATCTAATTTCTGAAATGCGATAACCACAAGAGCTAAAACAAAATTACTGAGGCTAAGCAAAACACGTGGTGCTAGTCCCAGCCTATTACTCAGTGACTTAGAGCCCAAGAGGAAACAGACTGTGGCAGAAGCTTGTAGGGAAAGGCCTGGCGCTATTACAAGGGGGCAGGGCACTGAACCGTTAATGCTGTCATAGCCAATCGGACGGCCTTAGAGACTGATTAGTCACTGGTGACTGTTAAGTGTGAGAACCTCCAAAGCCTAACTCAAGTTTATCTTCAATCTGACTTTTCTGCATCTTTAGTAGAAATGCTGAAAGTTAAACATGGACAGCTGAAACTATGTTAGCATCACACTGTAATATTACAATAAACAGAAACAACCTACTTGATTACCTTTGTGTGTCCAGACCACACATGAATTTGTTTTTTGGGAAGGTAACACTTTTCAGGTGGCACAGTTGACCGGAGATTAACACCAACATCCTGAGGTATGTGAAGATAGGACCTGCCCTGATAGTCATACATTTCCTTAACTGAAATAAGAAGGCAAAGGAAATCAGTGAACACATAGAAGCCATAGTCATGACATCTATAATCTTAAAATAACATTTTATTCATAGGGATACCATACTAAGGTTTAAGTAACAATACCCTGATGATGTTAAGATCAACCTTCAGCTAAGATTTAGTTACTTAGAATCATCTGCTATCATTTACAATTGAAGGTAGTATTTTGGAATTCTTAAATATCCAGAGATCATTAGACATTTAAATAAGATCCATACTACTTTTGTTCAGTTACATTTCAGTGATATTATATAAAGACTTCACTGCGGTATAATTTACAGTGAGTGAAGAAAAGATAAAACTTGGGCCTTGTGAGTCACTGGTAAAGTATCAGAAGCAAAATAGGATAAGAAAGAAGTTAAAACAAAATAAAAAATATCAATTATTCTTTCTCTTGCTTTCTTTCTTATGCCCCTCTGGTTACTTTCCATTTCTCTTTTCCCATTTTCACAAGTTTTACAGTAAAGTCACCTGTGGGAATTAAATTACACAGTGTATATAAAACATTTAGCAGCATGCCTGGCACCGAGTCAGTACTCAATAAATGCTATTATTACTATGTTACTGAGATGGTTGTAAACACCATAAATACTGACTACACTCCTCGGAGATAAAACTGAAGCTTGAGGAACCCAATATGATTTCATCAAATCTAAATATTTTATATGCTATAACAATAGAATAATCAATATTGTCAGTGCTCAATTATATATTACAGCTTGAAATAATCATGATATGATTTCCTAAATATAACTAATTATTAAAGAACAGGTAGATTGTAGGCTGTTCATAATTTATTCAGGTGAATATACATTTCCTTCCACAAGTCAAAGTAAGTCTGCGAGTCTTAATCTCTCATCTATTTACATGAAAAACAAAATTTATTCTTTTAAAGTATATTTTAGTAATGGTTATAAACCGTGAGAATATCTGAGTATTTGGCTTGGGTTAAAAACAGCTAAAATCACTGGGGTAGTCTTAATAAACTAAAAGAGTCAACTTTATCTTAGGAAAGAACAGACTGCGGACCATTCAGGTTTCTTATCATTTTTTATTCATTAACACTTCAAAGGAATCTGTGGCTGTCATTAATCATGCTGTTTTCTCTCCTTTGTTAGTACACAGTAGAGTCTGCTATAATTTCTTTGGAATATAATTTGTTAAACATAATTATTCTTAACACAATGATTTTTATAACAGCTGATAGTGAAGTTAACATTGTATGAACAGAGTACAGTATAAAGTTTTTTGTAAAAATAAGTATAAAAAATATATATATTACCGTGTAAGATTGTCTTCTCTTCCCCAGGTTTCTCTTCCTCCTGTTTGCCTTTTTTCTGCCTCTTTGCTGTGATTTCATCCAATTCTTTTTGTTCTTCCTAAGGAAATTAAGGAATGAACTTTAAATTAAATGTTCTAGAACCCTATCATGCTCAAAGTTGGTTATAAACGCTTTATAACCAATATAAGGTCCACATTTTTGCTGCAGCAATAGCTACAAGTGTGTCTCTCTGGATAACAAGCTCAACTCTTCCCATAAACAGAGGCTGACTGCCTCTTCCATAGGTTACAAAATGGCATTAAATATATAACGAATACTAGATCATACTTTAAAATTGATTTTATACAAAATTCATCCTTCTGGAACACTTTAAATAAATTTAACATGATATGCTAATTATCCATGTGAGAAGACAAGGCAGTTAGAAAATGCAGTACCAGAAAAGGAAATGAATTTTAGGAGACAATGTTGTTCTTCCATAAATAGCTTTTACAAAGTCATAGGTCTATAAGCAATGACTATAGATTTGTGATACAACTTTTTTGGGAAGAGCTGTGGAAGAAAGATGGGGGAGCAGTAAATCTCTATCTATAAGATCAAAGTCAACAGATGGTCTCACAAACATGCTGTTATTTATTCTAGAGCTCAACTGTTGACTTGATTTTATAGACAGAGACTCACTGGATGTAAATAACACAGATTGACTGTGTTACCGGAATGTAATTAAGTCACGAGGACAGGATGCCTTGACCTTGTCCACTGCTGTATCCTGGGGACCTAGAACAAAGCCTGGCTCACAGAGACAGTGAGATTAGGAGATGGGGAAGGGAAGGGGAGAGTTCTGTACTTTTACATTATAAATGTCATAGGGCTTAAGTTTTAAACAACATAGATGAAATTTGTTTAAACTTTTACTTAATAAATAAACCCTACTATCACTTCTAGTGTCATAGAAAGGCTGATTCTACAGTTGCTATCTGAATGTCTGGTTTCAGAAGAACAGCTACCATGGCAGCTTAGAAATATCAAGAAATATTTATTCAAAATTGTCTGCTATTGTATTTTAATAAAAAGTACAGAAGAAAATAAAATAGCAAAAAAGTGAGCAGAAATATTTCAAAGAAAAACAAAGAAATTTTATTATATTTTCTCAATGAACTAAGGCACAGAAATTTTGATGAGTGATTTGGTTCTCTAAGGAAATTTCAAGTTTATTAATATAGCTATCCTTCATGGAGGCACAGCATACAACTGAACCGACAATGAAAAACATCAAAGCTTACTTCTGAAGGCTTCGCTACATCTTTTTCATCCACATATTTTGCCCATGGTCCCAAGAAACCATCAATATTAGATGCATCATTTTCTTTGAACTTTTTCCTCTTCTCTATTTTCTTCTGACCAGTTTCAAACACAGTTAAACCTATATTAACCAAAAAAAAAAAAAACCCACAAAAAACAAACAACAACAAAAAACCAAAAAGAGATATTACAAATATCTATACTTTCTAAGGAAATAATCAGCATGTATATAACCTTATTTTATATGGTTAAAGAAAGATGATTGTTCAAGTGACCAAAAATTTTATTAAAAAGCAAAACAAACAAAGCCTGTGTGAATCTGCCACATACATCAACTCATGTCACACAAAAAGAGATATAATCTTCTGGGGAAAGACACTTTCTACGAATGTGATATTTTGCAAATTCTAGTACTGTGTACTTAAAGACAAGATCCAAATATGTAATCATACAATGCAATAGTACACAACCTTTTTAATGAATCAAAAGCCAGTATCAGTGGATTTTTAGCACTTTTTGAAAGAAAACCAGTAATTCAGTATTGCCACGTAATGATAATGCTACCTTTGAAAGCAAGAATAAACTGTAATTAATCATTTAAAAATGAATTGAATTATAGTAAGTACTCAGTAACTTATCTTCACTTCACTTGTAAAGTAGCAATATAAATCGAACAAGATTTCACAAAACCTTGTTTGGTATTTCTTCCAAGTAATCTCAATCTAAAGCTGACCTCTAATAGTATCAATGTTAACAGTAAAATAAAAGAAGAAAAAGACGAAGAAGAAATTGTAGCTAAAGATACCTTTATTTACAAAATATTCTCTAAGTGTTGGCTACCTCTTTGTAAAATTTTGTAATGAATATTTTGTAAATAAAGATATCTTTAGCTATAATTTTCCATTTTCCCCATGTATGATGACTTTAGAGGTGACTTCTGGGATATCCTGTATATTGCTCTATTGTCTTAACCTCAAAGCACAAAATGAAGAGGCTGGGCACTGTGGCTCACACCTGTGCTCCCAGTGCTTTGGGAGGCTGAGGCAAGAGGATAGCTTGAGGCCAGGAGTTTGACACCAGCCTGGGCTACAAAGCAACATTTTATCTCTATAAAAAAAATAAGCCAGTCATGGTGGCACATGCCTATAGTACCACTAGGGACTATAGGAGAGTGAGGTAGGATTGCTTGAGCCCAGGAGTTCAAGGATATAGTGAGCTATGATCATGCCACTGCAGTCCAGCCTGGGCAACAGAATAAGAACCTGTCTCTAAAAAAAAGACAAAAAGACAAAAATCAAGTACTAAATAAAAAACTAGTTTTTTCCTACTCTATAAAGTCAATCTGAAAAACACTAATTATAGGTATGTGTGAGAATATATATGTGATATTAAATATTTCAAATCAATTACCTTGATTTTTTTCAGCTTCTTCCACCGAACCTATATATTTAGCAGACACTTGATGATTATCTAATGAAGGGTCTAATGCATAACCTAAAAGGAAAAAGGTAGAAATTGATTCATTTTGCCATTTATAATTAATTTATTACTACACAAATATATTCATTTCACATTTTACTTCCTAGATGTCAGAAATGGTCTCTTTAAGACCAATCCTTCTTTCCTGAGCTGTTTCTATTTAGAATAACTAGCCCAAATTTCAGGTTGGACCACAAATAACTTCAGCAGATTAAGAATTATCTTATAGGCTGAATCTAGCATATTGACATTACATTACTAAGAACCTCTCTTGCCAAGATATAAAACCTTACTTTTGTATATTCTAAGAGCTTAAAAATATATATACATTATATATTTCTGGAGTTTAGCTTCTTTTTAGTAATGAATATTAGAGGGCTAAATTTATCAAATTATATAAACTATTGAATAATTAAAAAAAGAAATATGTAAGAACTATATAAAATCTAGCTATTATTTTGAAATTTTCATACTCAGTAAGGAGTCTTCCCTTTGATTACTAAAAGAAAATATTTTCACTTCATAAATCATTCTTGCTATTTCCTTGGTAAAAGAGGTAAGGATAGCCACTATACACGAATACATTCCTTTAACTAGGGTATATGGCTAAATACAAGTGTGTTCTTCAGTGGTCTATGGGAACTCAAGGAAGAAAGCTTATTAACTCAAATCAGTTTTCCTTTAAGTGGGTGTGCTAGCACAACAAATGTCCAGCATATTCACAAAAGAGAGATCATCGATCATCATTCTATGGCCTGCAACTCATGTAAATAATCACATCAAATATATGCGACTCTAAAGCAGCAGTTCTCAACCTGTGGGTTGCGACCCACAGGAACTGTGTTAAAGGGCTGCGGCATTAGGAAGGTTGAGAACCACTGTTCTAAAGGGAACATATTAGTAGATATATTTAACATTTTAATTTTTCATGTAAAGATTTTAGGAAACTTCTTGTGGACGCCAGAAAAAGACTGGTCATGAAACATGCTTTTCTAACAAGCTAAGGATATTAAGTCCGCAACTCATCCTCCAGATATGCTAGAATAGAACCAACCCTTGGCTATTGGCTCATTTGCATTAAAATAATGTTCTTAGCCAGAGGAAAGGGCTTGATGGCAGAACAGCAGCTTTGGAGTAGAAGCTCTGAAATCACAGGTTCAAATCTGAGGGTTTTAAAAATCTTTTCTCTCTTTGACGTACAGAATACTATTCTTACATTTTTTTAAAATGAGACTTTTATAGAGCTCGTATAAAATTCACACTAATATACCCTGAATTAAAAATTCCTGTCTCAATCAAAAAAACTTATCTAGAATGTAAATCCTACTTTGAAAGGAGACTTACATCTGTGTCTCTATAAATGGCAGTGTGTGACATGTTTAGAGGGGAGGAGGGAGAAAGAGAAGGGGGAGAGGTTTCCCTGGTCTGTCTTGTCTCCATGTAGGCACCAATTCCCAACTCACCTGGTCATAGTCTTTCATCTGAGGAAAGAAACTTAGCTCCTCCCCTCCACTTTTACTACTTTGTGGTAAAAGTCTCTACTGCCACTACCACCATTCCCACTACTGCCTCCCACCCCAAGTGATTAGAAGACAATATTACTTTCCTTTTACAAATAAGAGAAGTTAAACATTTAGCCATATATCCTACCACAAATCAGCCAGTCATAAAGCAAGATCTAACTCTAACACTACAGAATTTTAGTCGTTAATTTTCTACTGCCCTTTGTCTCAAGTGAACCCATCTACATTTCTTAAGTATTCTTATTGATCTTTCTGAACTTTATTTTCCATTTTATCTTTTCAATGGAGTTAATATCTACTTTCTTTTTTTTGGTAGTCTTTTTAAAATGGCTATAATTATCAATTTTATCATTGTACCCTTAAGGTTACTGATATGAATATATATTCCAATAGGTTAATGAAAAGAGACTACAAACAATTTCAAGGCCAGGCATGGTGGCTCATGCCCGTAATCCTAGTACTTTGGGAGGCCAAAGTGGGAGGATTGCTTGAGGTCAGGGGTTCAAGACAAGCATGAACAACATAGTAAGACCCTGTCCTCCATGAAAAACACAAAAATTAGCAGGATGTTGTGGCATCCTGATGATGTGCGGGTAGCCCTGGCCTCTCAGGAGGCTAAGGCAGGAGTATCGCGTAAGCCCAGGAATCTGAGGTTGCAGTGAGCTATGATAACACCACTACTCTCATGCCTCAACAATAGAGTTTCATGTACAAAAATATTTGCTATCACGTTTTAAAAAGCATTTTATTGGAGTACAATGTATGACATTACACTTTTAATAGTGAAAAGCAGAAACAACTTGAAACCTAAATGATATAAGGAATTCTTACAAAAATTACTATCTTTGTTCAGTAGATTATTTTAAAAAAAATTTATAAATGTGAGTAAAGAGCTTCTAATACTGAAGTTAATGATGACTACGGTAAGACTAAAATTAGTTCTTTAAAATTTTATATTGCACTTCCCTAGATGGGTGTCAAGAAAACTTTTGGATGAAAGTGGAAAAAATGAAGAAACCTGTGAAGCCCCAAGTGTGAGCAGCAGGGGAGCTGGCCAGGAACTCAGGAGGAAAGGGAGGAAAAGGGGACAGAAGAATTCACACCATCCTGGGAGACTGAGAAGTCAGGAGAAAACTGTAAACAGGAGCCAAAAGGAAAACTGCTGCGTGAGTGCATGGGAAGACACAGTAAATGAGACTATCTTTATTGCTAGGGACTTGATGGGTACGCTCTGTGACAAACTAAATGTGCTGTGGAATATAAATTTTCCAGAAAACTCACTGAGATTATAACAATGCTATAATTTTTGTTTGCTTGTTTGCAGTTTTTGGCCCGGGCTGGGTTTGAACCTGCCATCTCCGGTATATGGATGGGGCTGGCGCCCTACTCCTTTGAGCCACAGGCGCTGCACAACAATGCTATATTTTTTTAAAGTGGAAAGAAATACAGAATCAATGCTTGTTCTCTGTCCCAGCAGTGATGCGGCATCTCCCCTATATCTCAGAGATAACACTAGTATAAGATACAGGGAAGGTTTATTCCCTGGTACTTTGCAAATGATGGATGGTAACAGAAAGGTTGCATAGCCTTTACATGTAGAGTTTAAAAAAAAATACAGCTGGGCATCATAGCTCAGTGGTTAAAAAGCTGGCCCTGGTAGCTTTCAACCTTGCTTGGGACTGATTAATAAAAAAACAAAAACAAACAAACAAAAAAACCAAACAAAAAAACAGCAACAACAAAAAAACCCCCACAAGTAGAGAGGAAGCTGGTGCAGGAATCATCATCTGAAGTCAGAGATAAACACTCTATGAGGAAATTATAAGACTCAAATAGAAGCCATTCTTGCTTACTACTTGGTACTTGAAAAAAAGAGTGTTAAACCTGGTATCGGTTCATTTATTAAGTTCAAACAAGTTGATCTCAATTCTAAGATCTATCATAAGGCAAGACAGAACAAAATTTTCTTAGTTTTACAACTGGACATTCCATTCAGACTAGGTTGCCTAATAATATACTACAGCCCCACATTCATTTTTTGCCTTCAACATCAATCTGTGGCCTAGTTTACCACCTCCTAATGGGAGGCAAAAATTACCAGATTTTTTTTTTTATAAGCCCATTTTTGAATGCAGGTCTAAAACCAAATAAATAATTTTGAATCTTTATTTTTGCTATATGGTAATTTAAGAAGTAGGTATTAGTATCAAAATAAACATAATTGAGCTTTTTCTGTATGTTTTAAAGACTTAAGTTAACTATATTATTGTTTAAGGCCCTTCCAGAGACTAAGAAACTAAAGTCTTTAAAACTCTGTTTATTAGAGGCTAGCATCTAATAAATTCATAATGCAATAGAGTTGATTTTATGTGTACTTATTTTAGATTTACATGGGACCCCTTGCACAAATAATAGGTACAATGCATTTGTAACCATTATATTGGACTGGAAGTGTCACTGAACTCTTCGGGGTGATTTTAGTGGTATAGAGTCTTAACTGCAACTTTTGGCACTCTGTAAGCCAATTATAATCTTACCAGGCTGAAATATTATCTAATATATATGGTAATCCTTTTACAACCAGTTTCTATGCACATTAACTTTTTAAAATTCCATCATCGATAGGATATAATTATTTTACACTATGAATGGGTGACTATTCTATTCCTGAAATCCCTCAGTGATTAAGAGAAAACATTTAGAAATAAGATCTAAGAAACAGAGTAAAGTACCAAATAATAAGATTAAAAAGGTAACCTCTTAACACTATCCTTTCATTTACCAACTGTAACAGCAATCTGCATGAAATGGACATGAAATAACAAGTGTTCATTACAAGTACAACAACAAAGAACATTCTGTTTTTAAGGCCACAGAATATTTCCAGTACTCAGGGATCACAGCAGATTTAAAATGACAGCTAAAAACATTAGTGCACATTCCCATGTATATGAGTATTTATAGATATAAGGTGGCATACTACCTTTTTGTAAGGAATCAAGATTAACAAATTTTAAAAGCCAGAAGATAAAGTAGATTCTCTCCCTGCTGCCAACCTCATACACACCCCATATTTCTAAATAAGGCCAAACTCTGAACTATTTAACTTTTATCAACTTACCATATGTGGCAAAAGTTCTTCTTTGTTGTTCAAACATAAAATCATTGATATGAGCTGGTTCAGCATATCCAGAAAGCATATTTCTAGGGGCAGCCATTTGCTGTGTCCTAAAGGGATTTTCAGGTCCAAACTGTAATGTTCCAAGAAAAAAGGTAAAAAGAAAAACATGAGTTCTAAGTATGTGAAAGCTAGAATTACTGAACTCTAAAGTCTCAAGGGTCAATTAACCTATTTGGGAACATGCTGGCCTCACATGGTCCAGTACAACTCGGCAGTGGCTGATTAGCATTGTTTATCAGCCCCGGGGAATGCAGCTCACTCAGATCTACATGGGATCATTTATGTCAAGAGCTCAGTAGCCACACATGGTTATTGGCTACTACATTCCTATGACTGCAGGGTGCTACCTGACAATGGTACCCTAGATAATGAGTGTTACTATTGTCTTGTCTAAACCATGATTTGGAGGATTTTTTCTGACTTTTGTATCAATAGTGGTACCATGCTGTAATTAAAAAATACATTTCTCTTCCACTAAATTATAATTCCTCAATACTTACTACAATGCCGGGCATATAGAAAGCACTCACTAACAAAGGAAAGATTAACTGGAATCCAGTGGGGGCAGGGGATAGGAAAACAGACAATAAAAATAAAGTGCTTAAAAAAGTCCCCAGGAATAGATATGACAAATGTTTATAAGATTTCTCCACTCTGAAGTCACACTATAAACATCTTACACGAAATAGTACCATTATTATCTACTTGTTTGTAAAACTTTGCGTTTCAGAATGTTTTCCCAAATGTTATTTAATTTGATTGGTACAAAAATGCTGGCTAGTAAGAGAAGTATATTCCTTCTCATTTTACACATGAAGAAAAAGCCAAAGACAATGTTTTTTACTGCCGTGTTGTCAGAAGCTTTATTAGTTGGCAGAACCAAGCCTAGAACAAATCTTAAGCATCCTGTTACATCATAACATTCCTTAAATACATAATCACAGCCTCTGACTTTTTTAAAAAATTCAGTAAGAAACTATCAGAATAAACTATACTGTATGCTATTCATATAATGCTATTATAAAAGGCACTGGGAAATTTAATTCTTTTCTTTTCTGCTTTAAAATAAAGAACAAAATGAGCTTCCCACTTTGGAAAGAGTGAAAGTAACAGAGTATTTTTATTTGAGCTTTGTAAGATCCACCATTATGATGAAAAATTTTTATGTTGGAACAGCTTAGGTTACTACCATTAGAAACCATCATTTATGATACATTACCAGAGCCACAAATATAAATTATTGATCTTCTCTTAACCAGTACACTACATTATCTATGTATCAACATTATACTATGTCTGAACATCTGCAAGTGTTTGATTATCTGCCTTACATTTTTCTGCTTTAGAAGAAAATAGATAATTACAAGATTTCTATACATTGACAGTTTCAATTTCTATGTTTAAACTAGGTCAATTTAAAAATACTTGATTTATATATAAAGCTTTTATTACTATTTATTCTAACTTATAATGGATAGTGCAAGACTTTAAGCCCATATTAGTCTTTCCTATGTCTGTTGATGGGTGGAAAACACAGGAAAAGAATCTAGATTGTTGAATGCTGGAAGTTGTAGTCAACTTCATTCAGTCACAAAATTTATTACAGAAACAGAAGCAGTCACAGAATTAAAGATGAAATGATTTGAAAGCTTCCTAGACGCTTTACCTGCTACAGTCAGCTATCATTCATAAAGCAGCATCTGCTATTTCAGGCGGGGGTGGATCTAAAATGATAAAAATCCTCATTGCCCTTATTGTTCATTTTAGCACATATATTAAATTACCAATCACTGTGCTCATAGGTAATTTTCCATCTAAAAGAGGAGGCTATAATTTTCATACTCTTATTTTACTAAGATTTTATAAAAAAGAGAACAATTCTAGAGATCATATATATCAAACTATCTCCATTTTAAAAAAATTCTCAGTGTTAAAGATCTATGCTTTCTATACTAATAACGATCCATATATTAAAGTTAAGTGTATACTGAATATGGTGCTATACCTAAAGTAATCTAAAAATTTAAATTTGTTTATGTCTTACAGACATTTAACATGAAGGTAATAAAAAGTCTTCTAGGAAGCTGGTAGGAAGAGGGTATATCTACTTCAGGTTGACCCTGACAGCCTGGTTACTGGGAGCTTTTAGAGCTGAACTCAAAGACAGTAAACATCAACAAAGGAAGGCAGAGAATGCTATTCAGCAGAACTTAGCTCTTTCCAATTACTCAAAGTATGTCTTCCAGAAGTTCCTGGCCCCTGTCAATATGAAACTTTTTAAATTCTGGGGCACTTGTTATAAAACAAAACAAGGCCCAGGCAGGAGGATCAGTATGAGACCAGCTTGAACACGAGTGAGATCCTATTTCTACAAAAAATAGAAGAAACAGCAGGGGGTGGTGTCCTGTGCCTATAGTTCCAGCTACTCAGGTCGAGGCAGGAGGATCACTTGAGACCAGGAGTTCAAGGTTGCAGTGATGACGCCACTGCACTCCAGCCTGGGCAACAAGAGCAAGACACTGTCTCATAAAACAAAATAAAACAAAAAAAGTACATAAAAAACTCACAAAACTGATGATTTCCAAACATTTCAAGTTTTGGTAGTTAACTAAGTTTAAGAGTAAATTGTGTTCAAGTGATTTTTAATAATTTAGAACAACACATTTAACGTAAGTGAATATGATGAATATATAACCTATTCAAGTTAATTAAGGATGAGCACCTAACAATTTTTAGCTAAAACAATTCTGAAGTATACCGTAAGTCAACTACAATTGTAATTTCCTTATATAAAATGTATACATTTAAGGGAGAAAATGTTTGCAAACCATACATCTGACAAGGGTTAACATCCAAAATACACAGGGAACTCAAAATAATTCTATAGCAAGAAAATGAGAAACTCGATTAAAAATGGGCCAAAGACCTCAATTTCTCAACATTTCTCAAAAGAAGACATACAGCCAGCCAGCAGATATATAAAAAGTGCCCAACATTAATAATAACCAGAGAAATGCAAATTAACTCATAAGTAACATACCGATGAAGACACAAATGTTGGTGAGGATGAGAAAAGAGGACTCTGTATGCTGCTAGTGGGGATGTATAAAGGTTCCTCAAAAAATTAAAAGCATAAGAATCATATGATCTAGCAATCCCACTACTGAGTATATATAAAAGGAAACAAAGTCAGTGTGCTGAAGACATCTGCATCCCCATGTTCACTGCACTATTAGTCACAATAGCCAAAATATGAAATCAACCTAAATGCCCATCAACAGGTAAATGGGTAAAGAAAATGTGGTAGTCATCACAACAGAATACTATTCAGCATTTAAAAAGAAGGAAATCCTGTCATTTGTGACAACATAGATTAATCTAAAGGACATTATGTTAAGTGAAATAAGCCAGGCACAAGGCCAAAATAAGCCAAATATCACATGATCTCACTTTTATGTAGACTCTAAGAAAGTCAAACTCATAAGAGCAGAGAGCAGAATGGTGGTTGCTAGAGTTAGTCGGGGATAGAAGGATGCTGAGTGATGTTGGCTAAAGGACACAGTTAGATAGGAGGAACAAGATCAAGAGATCTATTGTACAAGCATGGTGATGATCCTTAATAACAATGTACTGTATTCTTAAAAATCCCTGAGAGAGTAGATTTTAAGTGTTCTCACCACAAAAAATAAGCATGTGAAGTAATGTGTGTTAGTCAATTTAACTATTCTATAATGTAGACTATTTTAAAACATCATGTTGTACATGACAAATATATACAATTTTTGTATTAAAAAATTTCATTATAAAACCCACATGTAAGTATTAATTCAGATCTCTACACCCAAAGATTATGTCATGTTCTCAAGAGAGGTAAGTATCCTTCACATCTTTCAACTAAGTGAAGTAGTGATATTAGAGACTAGGGAGAACAGTATCTTAAATTTGTAAAGATGTTGGCTAATAACTCTCAGATGTCTGGTATTATAAGGCAGTGGTTCTCAAAAGTCTCCAGTAGGTAGACCAATAGTGACTTAATATCTTAGCAGTATATTATAACATTATAAGAACTATGAAAATTTATACTAATACAAATGGACTACATAAAATCATAGCTATAAGTTCACATAGAGGAAAAAACCAATTATTGAATTAATAACATACTTGATTTGGGGTAAATTTTTCATTTTTATTGGTCATCAATGTTTAAAAAGCATATAAATAAATTTAAGGTAAGAAGTATCTATTAATTATTTCATACAAATCAAGAAGAGATTCCTGCAGTTCAATTTTATTTGCAGGATATTCTAATTTTGGAAAATATAAGCACAGTTTAAATATTGCTGGCATAAGAGAATTTCACTAGTGCTGTTTCTATGACCTTGGGCCTCAGTTTCCTCATCTATAAAATAAAAAATCTGAGCTATATAATTTCTAAAGTTCATTCTAGCATTAATATTTATAGCAGCCCTTACAGCCAAATTTTTAACAGCAACTGGCATTTTTTTCTTTTGTATTTTTTCTATTCATAAGAGTACCATTATTTTAAGGAGTCTGGAGTTCTTCCTGAGACTTATGAGTTTAGAAAAGGTAATTAATGCATTATACTCTAAGCAGATTCAAAAAGAACTGAGTGTACTGAAGAAAATCACTAGACCGAAACAATGGTTATCCACAATTTGAGAAAATTTATCTGATCAACTAGGAAACTATTTAGAAAAAGTCCTTGGTTGGGAGGGAGAAACAGTATTTTTATAAAATAAGCAATTCAGTTAATTTTCAGAACTAGCAAAGTCAAAGGCATACGGTGTAACCCTGCAAACTCCACAAGGGCTGACTTCAAATAGGTCTTCTAGTTACAAAGATACTGAAGAGTGATCAGGATTCAAATCCCCAAATATCTTAATTATCGTCAGTAAATCTAAGAAAACTCCATTTCCTCACTGTAATAAAGGAATGCACTTAATTTCATATGGTTGCAGTAAGGACTACACGAGATAAGAAAATCTCTCAGTATGTAATAAATGACAGTTGATAAAGTTTTATTACCTTAGTCTCTATTCCTGTTCTTTCTCATCATGCAAATCCTTAGTGAATAAATCTTCCTAAAAACTCAGCTTTGATTTTTTTTAAGAACCTCAGAAACCTATCATCCATTAATCAAGACCAATTTTTTTAGCTTGGCCCTGTGCAATATCACACAAAGTGCCATTCTCGTCTTATTTCTCTATTCTCCCTTACTGATAATGACTAAGGCATTCCTGCTCTTTAGATTCCTGATTTGGCTCATGCTATTCCCTTCTGCATGGATTTTTTCTTCATAAAATCCTACCTTAGCAGCAATGCCAATAATTTAATATAAATACCAACAAGGGCTACTATTTGTTAAATGCTACTTTGTGCCAGAGTTTCCAAACCACATCATACATTATCTCATTTATCTTTTTAACTCGATAAAGTAGAAATCATCTTCATTTTACCTATGAAAAAACTAAGAATGTCCAAGGTTACATGACAGCTAATGAGGAGTCAGCTTAACTTACTTATGGTCTTAACCTGGATTGTATTGTCCACCTCAAATATTGCTTCTTTCAGGGAACTTTTTTTTCCTTTTTTTAATAATAATCACCAGATGCAATTTCTCCTTTAAGTTCCACCTTAATAGGTATTACAGGAAATAGTCTCTATACATACACACATACTCTCTTACTTAAAAACAAACACAACAGTAAAACACTAACTTGAGGAGAGGGATTATATCATATTCCTAACATTAGAATTTCAAAATACAGGAATTTGAATTTAATCTGGCAAAGTTCCTAGGAATACTTTCCCCAGACTCTGCCAAGCGATACAGATTCTAGTCACAAAATACAAAGTTCATAATTTAAGTCACAGACGATTCATTTGGCAACAATTCATTTGGCAACCTGGCAGAACTAACTTTGCTTTTCTTTTACATCTCATTGCTTCTTTCTTAAATTGCTAACAAGTATTACAGAGTTCTTAACATAAACTAGCTTATATATTTAATATGAGGCTCCTTAACACTAAGAAAAAGAACAGAACATTAAAGGATTCCTGTCAATATCAACACAACAAATTTTAACTGACCTTTTAAATTTTTCTTGAATGTGTAAGTTATACAGAGAATTTAAAAATTTAAGAAAAGCAGACTGTGCAGAAGATAAAGTGACAGCAGAATGTCATATACCACAACACTTCAACATTTTATTTTTTGAATTCAGTGGCTTTGTGTTATAGAAGTACTTTTCATTAAAAAAATACAATATAAATAAAATACAATACAGTAATACTATATTGTATACAATGAAGTATACAATATATACTTCAGTGGGCAGGCTAAAATGGTGACAAGGGATATAACAACAGCCTACAGTTCAACAGGCTACAAGGATTTAAGAAACAACAGAATGACATTTAAAATGTACTTCAGGCTTAGAGCATGGCAAGAAGGTATTCTGCTTAGAGCGCACTCAGAATAGCTAGAGCACTGCCTAAAGAGGGGTGCGGCATTGCTGGCTATTCTCTGCATTTCAACGGCCTTCTTTTAAGTCATTACAGAAAGCTAGGCAGCAACGTACTAGATGAAGTAGTTTTTTTGTTTTTTTTAAAGATGACGTAGTTCTATCGCTCTGATATGTCTCAAAAAGGACAATGACCTTATGCTACAAAATGAAAAATATTAAAAAGTACCCCATTTTCTACCAAGATGCAATAAGATGTGGCTCCTTACTCCCATCCTGAAAGTGTTTCTGCTACTGAAGCCTTATTTTTTTGTTTTATAATTACAATTTTCTAGGACTTCTATTTTTGTCAATCAAGCATTCTCTCCCATTTTAAAAGGCAAAATATCTCGAAATTTAATCTCTTGGAGGAGGAAATAATCTCTCCTTTATTCTGGGAGAACAGAAGGATCTATTTTCTAAAAGCTTAAATAGTATGCTTTTCTTGAGAAAACTTTTTAAAATTCACCAATTGTTTATCTACCTATGTATAATTTAAATGCTTCAATAAAAGACAGACAAAATATGTTTTCTTACCTCGGGAGCAAACATGGTCTCATAGGTAGGATTATACTGAACTTCTTTTACAGCAGGGTCAAGGTGAACTCCAGTCTCCAAATCTTCCTAAAAGAAAACCAAATGAATATTAAAGATCTGAGAACTGATGATTTTATTTTGGAAGCCACAGTAAAGTCGTGCCAGCCATTTTTAACACTAACTTTATGATATTTACATCAGTCACATATTATTAATAATTCTAATATCAAAGATAATAACATAAAACATAATTAGTTCTCTAGAGGTTAAAATATATAACAAATTTTTTTCTCTTCAAAATATTGACTTAATTAAATTAAAAATTTCTTAATAAGTTAACACTACTCAAAGTCATAAATTTAAGAGATTTCAACTCTTCTTTTTTATTAATTCAAAAGATGTGATCCTCTAGTGCCCAATTCAGAAGAGGTGCTCCTTTTATATTCAGTAAACCGTATTAGCTCTGTAACATACGCAGTGCAGAGGCAACAAAAGGAAGTGGCAAAGCCTGAATCTTCTAAATCTACAGTCTTATAATCTATGTCAATGTTTCAACCTTCTTAAATTCATTCCCCAGTTTAACAAACATAAAAATCTCATCTCCACTGAAGAATCACATAGTCTGTCTTTTGTATAACCCTATCACTTACAAATATGACAATTTTCAAACTGGTACCTCTAGCCTGGTCCCTCTGGTAGGCAGGGACCAAATCTGCAGGTGGCAGATAAAGACCTGAAGGGCAGTTTTTAGGGGTGCAGAAGCTGGGGACCATTCCAGGGGAAAAACCCCAGGAAAACGTAGAACATCTGTCAATCATCTGGTAATCTCCCACACCTCACGTAAACCTTCTGCTACCAGGCTGATAAAAGGATGACCACCTGAGAGTCCTAAATGCCTTTCTCCACTCCTGGTCCTCTCGCTGGAACATATTTTCCCTCTGTATACCTTCCTTCTTTCTTGCAATAAAAGCTGTTTGTGTGGAATTGCTTCTTGTCTGTAATAACTCCATTGCTTTGGCCCTGCTTATGATTTTTTCAAGCAAGGAGCCAAAAAACCGGGGCAACATTCTACCAAGCGGCTGGACCTGACACCTCTGAGTTTAAGACTTATATATCCACCCTTTAACTTCACATCTCTTCTCCCAGGACATCTAACAGATATCTCAAACTTAATATATCCAAAAGGGAGCCCTTGGTTTTGTCTCCCGTAGTAAATCCTTCCAGGCTTCTCTATCTAAATTAATCACAATTTCATCCTTACAGTTGTTCAGGTGAAAATCTCTGGATTTGTCCTGTCTTTTCTTTCTTTCACTCTTTATATCCAATCCATCATCAAATCGTCTACTTTGTATAAACATCCATAATTCAACCAGTTCTCACAGCCTCAATCACTCTCATCCAATTTATCATTCTGCATCTGGATTATTGCAATAGGTTTTCTTTTTCTGGTAGATAAGTCTTGTTATGTTGCTCAGGCTAGTCTCCAACTCCTGGCCTCAAGCAATCAGCTTTGGCCTCCCAAAGCACTGGAATTACAGGTGTAAGCCACTAAGCTTGACCTTGGGATAGTTTCTTACGTGCTCTCCCTACTTTCTGCCCTTGCCCACACATAGCCTCATTCCACACAGCAGATGGTGTGATTTTTCCAAAACATCAGATTGTGTCACTCTTTTACTGTAAACCCTCTAGTAGCTTCCCCACCCAGAGTTAAAAGCATAACAAAGGCCTGCAAGGCCTGCTACCAGTTGTTCCCAGAAAGTAGGCATGGTTCCCTAGGGTAGTTTTATGGGGCATTTTTGTCTTTTCTATATTCACATATTTAAAACATGTTATTTAATTATAAATATCTTTCCTTCAGTGAGGGCATTCAATTTGTATTTTAAAATTTTTCAACAAGTCATATATCATCTATGAATTATACTTTTGACACTTCTTGTTTTATTGCGAAGGTACATCCTCATTCTTTCAAATGCACACTTTGGCTTGTGATTATCTTTCAAAAATTTTAGAGCAATTTTGTATAAGTACGAAATTCGTGTTATTTTAGAATATGAATTCCATTGTGGAACCAAGCAGTGCATACAGCTAGAAATATCAATGAAGTGTTTGGGAAGGATGTGGCTAATGAATGCGTAGTGAAATTCTGTTCTGGGGATTTTGATCTTGAAAATGAGCCATGCGGGCGACCTGAGACCAAGGTGGATAATAATGAGCTATAAAAGCTGTAGTGGAGGCGAATTTATCTCAACCTATGTGTGAATCAGCAGTAGAATTTGGTGTCACAATTCCAACAATGTTGGACTATTTGAAACAAATTGGCAAGGCAAAGAAGCTGGATGGATAGGTTATGCATGAATTAAATGAGAAATCACTGTGAAGTGTGCCTTTCTTTGCTATCACAAGATAAAGCTGAATAATTTTTACACTGTATTGTTATATGTGACAAATAATGGATTCTTTTCAACAATAGCAAATGTTAGGCACAATAGTTGGATAAAGATGAAGGCTGAAACATAGTCCGAAGCCAAACATTCATTAAAAAAAGCTAATAGTGTCTGTTTGGTGGTCCAGCACTGGAATTATCCACTACAGTTCATGAAATTGGGTCAATCCATAACAGCAGATGTCTACTGCAACCAAGTGATGACATGGTAAGAATACTTGTGATTAAGCAGCCGAGACTGGTGAACAGAGATATGCCAATCCTCTTTGCAAGACATTGCTGTCACACAAATGCTGCTCCAACTACAGAAGCTGGACTTGGAAACTCTCTGTCACCTCCCCAATTCACCAGACCTTGCACCAACTGACTACCTCTTCTTCTAGGCTTTGGACTACTTCTTTTCTCAACCAGCTGTGGAAAATGCCTTTGGCGATTTCACCACTACTTGCTCTCCAGCCGCCTTTGCTCTGGCATAAATGAGCTACCATTAAGATGGCAACACTGTGTCCATAGTTTAGATCCATTCTTTAATTAACTGTACTGTTTCTTATTAGAGAGATAATAAACTAAAATTTGATTTGAAACCAGACATTTCATATTATGACCTATAGTTCTTTTTAGAATGTTCTTCCCCTGAATACCCATGTGAATGTTCTCTTGGCTTTCAAATCTCAAGAGGGTCAGTTTTTCTGCTGTCCCTTTACCTCACCTTTTTCCCATTATATTTGTCATTACCTGATATATATGTTTATTATCTCTCTCCACTAAAATATAAGCTACACAGGTGGATTCTGTACACACAAATGTACAATCATCCCCTGGAACTACCCCTTTATTCTGTTGGCTTCCAGCTGGTGGTTACATCCTCTTACACAATTCATAGCAACATCACACTTTGACTACATTCCTGGCCTCTGGCTCCTCATATCCAACTGCCTACTGAATTTCATTATATGGTTGTTCCACAGCATCAAATACTATGCTATGTCCCCAAACAATGTATCATTTCCCCAGGACTCCATCTTCAAACTAACAAAACAGGCCCTTTCACTAACAAGTCTTGCTGATTCCACCTCTGAGTATTTCTCCAGCAACCCCACTTCCACCCTCCCTTCTCTATACCCCAGCTACCACTGTCCTAGTTTGGGGTCTGGGGTTTCATTATATCTTGCCTGGTCTATTATAATAACTCCTTGTCTGGTTTAATACACCTGCACTTTTGCTATCTTAGAGTAACAGTTGACTTTTTTAAAATAGCAAGAGCTTTGATGTTTTCTGTGCTGTACACAATGCTACTGCTTTGAATTTTAGGCATTCCCTTTATTACCTGATAATATGTCATCTTATTTTCCCTGATAACTTCCCTCCTCCTGCTTCAGGAAAACTGCTTTTTTTGTTCACAGTCCCAATGAATGTTGTGCTCTTGTGAGTACTTCTGATGTATTATTTGTTGCACAAGACTTTTACTTATATCCCCACTCCCTAGTAGAATGCAGAGCATTCAGCACATGTTCAATAAATATTTGTTAAACTCAATAACTTGAAAAAAGAAAAGCCAATCCATGGGGAAATTAAGTAGGAGCACACTGACCAAAGCTTGGCAATTACACCACAACAAGCCTTTGCCCGAGTGACTTTGGCAGTGAGGAATAGTATGGAAAGTCAGTTACAAGGGGTAGAGATATAAATGAAGACTTGGAATAACAAGACAGTAATGATTTTTTACCCCAAAGACATTTGCTGGTAAAAAACAGAAGAGATAGGGTACCATGTTGAAGGATTTTCTGGGTAAAATTTTTTCTTCCTCCTTGAAAAGACTAAGTCAAAGACATAGGCAATCATAGGCTAGAGGAAAGGTGACAGCAAGAAGAAACACATGACAAGAATAAGGGGATACTCAAGGGTCTGGTTATCCTAGAAGAGGTAAGAGGGGATAGAATACAGGACACAGTTGGAAGATTAGCGTCTAATAAAAGGACAGCTCTCTTTGAGATGCAATAGAGGACAAAGCTACAGGTGCCAGATGATAGATGTTTGGAGATGCTGGGAGGTTTGAGAGTCATAACTGATCTTATTTTCTTAGTGTAGTTAGGAGATAGGCATCTTTATAAAGCAAATACAGTAATTTCTGATTCACTTATTCAGTCAATAGAAATACTGAGATGTGCCCACTTTGTGGTAGGCACTGTTCTAGGTCCACAGAAACAAAAACACCTGCCCTGGCAGAGTTTATATGCTAGTGGGACAGACAATGGTCCACATAATTGATAAATGAATCATAAAGTTCACTAGGACAAGGTAAGAAAAAAATAAATAACAATTTAAGAACACTAATGTGCTAGCACCAGACAGACACATTATTTCATGTAATTCTCTGCAATATTTCCTTAAGTATGAGCACAATTAGGTCACTTAGTCCACTCTACTAACAGAATAATAAATTAAAAGGGGAAAAGTTTGAAGTAACTACAATGAACAACACTAAAAAGCCCCAATTAGTAACAAATAAAAAAACTGCTGGCAGAGTAACCAGGCATATCAGTCAGGCTGATTAAACAGTATTTAATCTTTATGAGTTTCTCCTAGAATTTCCAGGTAGGATGGAGAACCAGCTTTGGAAGTAGGCAGACATAATATAGATGGA